TAGTCAAATCAATTAAAAGAAAATATAACTGAGTAAATTCAAGACATAAGATTCAGTTCTATGCTTTCTACAAAAATATCGCTATAAATCTAACACAGGGATAAAAGTAGAAGAATAGAAAAAAACTTATATGTCAAATACTGTCACAAAAAATATATATATACTATATGAAACATTGTCACAAGGCCAGGCACAGTGGCTCACATCTATAATTCTAGTGCTTTGAGAGGGTGAGGTGGGAGAATTACTTTAAGAAAAATCTGGGCAACATAGCAAGACCTCATCTTTACAGTACTGTTTTTTTGTTTGTTTTTTTTTTTTAAACAAACATGGTGTAGATACTTACAGTCCTGGCTACTCATAGAAGGCTGAGGCAGGATTGCTAAATTCCATTAATTGGAGATTGCAGGAGCAGTGATTTATGCCTGTAATCCTAGTTTTCTGGGAGGCTAAGGCAGGTGGATTCTCTGACCTCAAGAATTCCAGACCAGTCTGAGCAAGAGACCCCATCTCTGCCAAAAATAGAAAATCTAGCTGGGTATTGTGATGGGCACCTGTAGTCCCAACTACTGGGGAGTCTGAGGTAGAACGATCACTTGAGCCCAGGAGTTTGAGGTTGCTGTGAGCTAGGACGCCACCGCACTCTACCCACAGAATGGAGTGAGACTCTGTCTCAAAAAAAAAAAAATGATAAAATAATTGGAGATTGCAGTGAGCTGTGATCCAACCTGAGTGACAGAATGAGACCCCATCCTAAAAAATAATTGTCAAAAATTACAAGAAAAGACGTTATATGATGATAAAGCAGTCAAATGACTAGGAGGCTAACACAATTATTAACATATATGCACCCAATGTCAGCATTCCCAAATATAGAAGTAACTATGTACAGAACTGAAGCAAAAAGTAGGCAGCAGCACAATTAATAATGAGAGACTTCAATATCCTATGTTCATTAATGCACAGAAAGAATAGATAAGAAGTTCAATAAGGAAATAGAGGACTTAAATAGCACTACAGACCAATTAGACCTAACAGTCATATACAGAACTCTCCATCTAACAAGAGAAAAATAATATTCTCAATCATGCATGGCAACAACTAGGCTAGAGTGCTATGGTGTCAGCATAGCTCACAGCAACCTCAAACTCCTGGGTTCAAGTGATCCTCTTGCCTCAGCCTCTTGAGTAGCAGGGATCACAAGCATGCGCCCCCAAGTCCAGGTAGTTTTTCTATTTTTGGTAGATATGGGGTCTCATTCTTGCTCAGACTAGTCTCAAACTCCTGAGCTCAGGCAATCCACCCACCTCAGCCTCCCAGAGTACTAGGATTATAGGCATAAGCCACTGTGCCCAGCCCAGAAGTATTAAAACATGCTAAAATTCCTGGCAGCGCCTGTGGCTCAGTGGGTAGGGCACCAGCCCCATATATGGAGGGTGGCAGGTTTGAACCTGGCCTTGGCCAAAACTGCAACAAAAATAGCTAGGCATTGTGGCAGGTGCCTGTAGTCCCAGCTACTCAGGAGGCTGAGGCAAGAGAATCGCCTAAGCCCAGAAGTTGGATGTTGCTGTGAGCTATGATGCCATGGCACTCTACTGAGGGTGACATAGTGAGACTCTGCCTCAAAAAAAAGCTTAAGCCTCAGTACCTGTTGCTCAAGCGGCTAAGGCACCAGCCACATACACCTGAGCTGGTGGGCTCAAATCCAGCCTGGGCCTGCCAAACAACGATGATGGCTATAACCAAAAAAATAGCTGGGCGCTGTGGCGGGCACCTGTAGTCCCAGCTACTTGGGAGGCAGAGGCAGGAGAATTGCTTCAGCCCAGGAGTTGGAGGTTTCTGTGAGCTGTGATGCCACCGCACTCTAACCAGGGTGACAGCTTGAGGCTCTGTCTCAAAAAGCTAAAATTCCTATGGACTCTCAGGGACCAAAAATAGTCAAACAACCTTAAAAGAGAAAGACAAAGTTTGAAGCATCATACTGTGAATCCAGAACATAAAATAAAACAACAAAAATAAAAACAGTGTGGCACTTGCACAAGTACAGAAAAATAAACCACTCAACATGCTAGACAGCATAGAAATAAAGCCTCATACATAGTCAACATCAACAAAGATTCCTAGCTCTTGCAATAAAGAAAGGCAGTCTCTTTAACAAATAAGAGTTGAGAATACTGTAAATCCACACAGGAAAAATGAAGTTGTACCTTACCTTCCACCTCATGCAACAATGAACTCAAAATGGACTTAGTTTTTTTGGTCACAGTTATAAATGAAATTTTAAAATTTCTTTTTAAAAAGGTTATGATCAGAATACAGAAATAGGGTGGCATCCATAGCTCAGTGGGTAGGGCATCAGCCACATACACCCAGGCTGGTGGGTTTGAAACCAGCCCAGGCCTGCTAAACCATGACAAATGCAACAAAAAAATAGCTGGGCGTTGTGGTGGGCGCCTGTAGTCCCAGCCAGCTACTGGGGAGGCTGAGGCAAGAGTATCAGTTAAGCCCAAGAGTTTGAGGTTGCTGGCTCGGCACCTGTGGCTCAAGTGGCTAAGGCGCCAGCCACATACACCTAAGGTGGCGGGTTC